ATGCTCGGTATTATACTCACCCCAAGATCCTTTTCCTTGAGTGAGGTTTGTAGTCTTTGGCCCTCTAGCTTGTACCCCGTCTGCAGTCTTCTTTGATCTCCCCCAATCTTCATGACTTTGCACGTGGTAGGGTTGAACCCCAGGAGCCAGTCATGGGGTTCTACCTGATCCTCATTTGACTGAATTTTTCGCATTAGTTTCACATCGTCTGGAAACAGGGACATCTCTGAATCTATCCATTCCGTCATGTCATTCACAAACACCAGACTCAGCACCGACCCTTGGAATGACCTCTGTGGAACCCCACTCGTCACAGGCGCCCACTTTGACACCTAATCACTTACGATGACTAGTTAACATAAGAACATAAGAAAGGAGGAACACTGCAGCAGGCCTGTTGGCCCATACTAGGCAGGTCCTTTACAATTCATCCCACTAACAAACATTTGACCAACCCAATTTTCAATGCCACCCAAGAAACAACCTCCGATGTGCAAGTCCCACTCAAATCCAACCCCTCCCACTCATGTACTTATCCAACCTAAATTTGAAACTACCCAAAGTCCTAGCCTCAATAACCCAACTAGGTAGACTGTTCCACTCATCAACTACCCTATTTCCAAACCAATACTTTCCTATGTCCTTTCTAAATCTAAACTTATCTAATTTAAATCCATTACTGCGGGTTCTCTCTTGGAGAGATATCCCAAGCCCTTGTTAATATCCCCTTTATTAATATCCATCTTCCACTTATACACATCGATCAGGTCTCCCCTCATTCTTCGTCTAACAAGTGAATGTAACTTAAGAGTCTTCAATCTTTCTTCATAAGGAAGATTTCTAATGCTATGTATTAATTTAGTCATCCTACGCTGAATGTTTTCTAACGAATTTATGTCCATTCTGTAATATGGAGACCAGAATTGAGCTGCATAATCTAGGTGAGGCCTTACTAATGATGTATAAAGTGCAGTATGACCTCTGGACCTCTGTTGCTTACACTTCTTGATATAAGTCCCAGTAATCTATTTGATTTATTACGTACGCTTAGGCATTGCTGTCTTGAGGAAATGGTATGGTGATACCGACAAGATGTGGAAAAAGACACTTATGTACAGTTCAGGATATTTATTAGAGGAAACGTATCGCCACGAGTGGCTTCTTCAGTCCTAAGAATATGCAATCTACCCATCCCTCTCTTTCTTCCCTTATTTCTGTCCCTTCCCTAGAAACGTGCTGGATGTTATGTATAAGCTCATTCCTTTCTAGATGCTTCACTCTTGTGATAATCTTCTCCATGACATTGCATCCTATACGTGTCAGTGACACTGGTCCGTAGTCTAATACTGTATGTCTATCTCCTTTCATAAAAACTGGTACTACATTTGCTGTCGTCCACACTTCAGGTAGTTGCAGAGTTTCGATAGATGTGTTGAAGATTGTTGCTACTGGCACACACAGTTCCTCTGCTCCCACTCTCAGGACCCATGGAGAGATGTCCAGTTCCCCGCCTCTGAGATATTTAGTTCGCTTAGCAGCCTCTTTACGTCCTCAATTGAGTGTAGTGTGTCCAACACTTGTTTAAATCTCATGTCGAGCTCTGCACATGCTTCTTGGTCGTTTCTTGTGATCTCCCCTCCTTCCGTCCTCAGCCTGATTACCTGGTCATTGACTGTTGTTTTCCTTCTAAAGTGGCTGTACAACAGCTTCGGGTCAGATTAGGCTTTTGATGCCATCTCATTTTCGTATTGCTAATGGGCCTCTTTCCTTATCTGTGCATATTCTTCTCTGGCTCTTCGACTAGTCTCCTTATTTTCCTGGGTCCTTTGTCTCCTATATTTTTTCCATTCTCTAGTGCACTTCGTTTTGGCCTCTCTACTCCTTTGGGTGAACCAAGGGCTTGATCTAGTCTTCCCATTATTTCCGTTGCCCTTGGGTACGAACATCTCCTCTGCATCCTTGTACTTTGTTGTCAAGTATTCAATCATTCCAATTACTGATTTCCCCAGCGAATCTCAGGGAGAAAATTTCTCATGCCTGTGCAGTCATATCTTTGTAGTTTGGTTTCTCGTGTCCTATTCTTCCTGCTTCCCTCTCCACTTGTAATTCTGATTTGTATTTTTAGCTCAGGACCACGTGATCACCAACTCCATAGGGCCTTTCATATGTGATGTCATCAATGTTTGAATTACTCAAGCTGAATATGATGTTCAGTCTTGTGGTTCATCCTCCCCCATCTCTCACTCTCTCTCTCTCTCTCTCTCTCTCGTATTGACCCTAACGTGTTGAAGCATGATGGTGTGTGTTGTGTGTGTGTGTGCGTGTGTGTGTGTGTGTGTGTGTATGTGTGTGTGTGTGTACTCACCTAGTTGTACTCACCTAGTTGAGGTTGCAGGGGTCGATTCCAAGCTCCTGGCCCCGCCTCTTGACTGGTCGCTACTAGGTCACTTTCCCTGAACCGTTAGCTTTATCATTCCTCTGCTTAAAGCTATGTATGGATCCCGCCTCCACTACATCGTTTCCTAAACTATTCCACTTCCTGACTACTCTGTGACTGAAGAAATACTTCCTAGTATCCCTGTGATTCATCTTGTTACTGTGTCCCATCTCTGGAACATTCTGTCTTTGTCCACCTTGTCGATTCCTCTCAGTATTTTGTATGCCGTTATCATGTCCCCCCCTATCTCTCCTGTCCTCCAGTGTCGTCAGGACGATTTCCCTTAACCTCTCCTCGTAGGGCATACCCCTTAGCTCTGGGACTAGTCTTGTTGCAAACCTTTGTACTTTCTCTAGTTTCTTTACGTGCTTGGCTAGGTGTGGGTTCCAAAATGGTGCCGCGTGTGTATGTGGTGTGTGGTGGTGTGTGTGTGTGTGTATTTGTGTGTGTGTACTCACCTAATTGTGGTTGCAGGAGTCGAGACTCAGCTCCTGGCCCCGCCTCTTTACTGACCGCTGCTGGGTCGTCCCTGTCACTGCTCCATGAGCTTTATCATACCACGTCTTAAAACTATGTATGGTTCCTGCCTCCACTACATCACTTATGTGTGTGTGTGTGTACGTGTACTCACCTATTTGTACTCACCTATTTGTACTCACCTAAGTGTGGTTGCAGGGGTCGAGTCATAGTTCCTGGTCCTGCCTCTTCACTGATTGCTCAATGAGTTTTATCATACCTCGTCTTAAAGCTATGTATGGTTCCTGCCTCCACTATATCACTTGCTAGACTATTCCACTTCCTGACTACTCTGTGACTCAAGAAATACTTCCTAACATCCCTTTGACTCATTTGAGTCTTCAGCTTCCAAGTGTGACCCCTTGTTTCTGTGTCCCCTCTCTGGAACATCCTGTCTCTGTCCACCTTGTCTATTCCACGCAGCATTTTGTATGTCGTTATCATGTCTCCCCTAACCCTCCTGTCCTTCAGTATCGTCAGGCCGATTTCCCTTAATCTTTCTTAGTAGGACATTTCTTTTAGCTCTGGAACTAACCTTGTCGCAAACCTTTGCACTTTCCATAATTTCTTAATGTGTTTGACCAGGTGTGGGTTCCAAACTGGTGCTGCATACTCCAGTATGGGCCTGACGTACACGGTGTACAGTGTCTTGAACAATTCCTTACTAAGACATCGGAACGCTATTCTCAGGTTTGCCAGGCGACCATATGCTACAGCAGTTATCTGGTTGATGTGTGCTTCCGGAGACGTGCTCGGTGTTATACTAACCCCAAGATCTTTCACCTTGAGCGAGGTTTGCAGTCTTTGAGCAACCTAGCCTATACTCTGTCTGCGGTCTTCTTTGATAACAACATATAAAATACTGAGAGGAATCGACAAGGTGGAACATGGACAGGATGTTTAAGAGATGGGATATACCAGCAAGGGTTCACAATTGGAAGTGGAAGACTTAGATGAGCCACAGGGATGTTAGGAAGTATTTCTTCAGTCACAGAGTTGTCAGGATGTGGAATAGTCTGGAAAGGGAGGTGGTGGAGGCAGGAACTATACATAGCTTTAAGAAGAGTATGATAAAGCTGGCGTAGCAAGGAGTGACCTAATAGTGACAAGTGAAGATGCAGGGCCAGGAGCCATGAATCGACTCCTGCAACCACAATTGGGTGAGTACACACACACTGTGTGTTTGTGTGTTCGTGTCTTCTTATTTAATGTAATTTACATAAAATAACAAAAAGAGGAAGTAATTTGGGTAAGAATATTGCTAATATAATATTATTGAATTTATTATGCAAATAGTTTAGGGACATTTTATTTGAGTAAATTAATGCAACAGGGGCACCTAGTATATATTTAAATCGAGAATTTGCATAATGTCAAAATTATGCACAATAGTATAATTCAGAAATTACATTTTTCTCGGAAGAGTAAATGTAATTATAATTTAAGTGCAACACTTTACACATAAGTACACACACACACGTCAGGAATATATATACACAGAGAGATGTATATCTACTTGTCTAATATGTATATCAACTATAATGTCTACTATGTGTATCTACTGTAATGTCTTATATGTATATCTATTATATTTTCAACTATAATGCATCTTTTAGAAATCAAAATACTCCTGAATGGCGATGAACCAGGAATCTGCAGCATTAATGACCCTCATACAGTCAACCTGCAGCATTAATGACCCTCATACAGTCAACCTGCAGCATTAATGACCCTCATACAGTCAACCTGCAGCTTTAAGGACCCTCATACAGTCAACCTGCAGCATTAATTACCCTCATGCAGTCAACCTGCAACATTAATTACCCTCATACAGTCAACCTGCAGCATTAATGACCCTCATATAGTCAACAATCTTTAAACTCAATAATCCATCTAACAAACCAAATACTTACAAGGATATTCAGGGTATATTCACCCACAAGTAATTTTTGATTGCTTGTGTGAACGTGAGCTGCATTTATGTTGAAGAATTGAGACACTTATGCAACATATGGGAATCTTTATTGAAGAAACGTTTCGCTACACAGTGGCTTCATCAGTCCTAAATAAAGCAGGAAGGTATAAGGAGAGGAGGAGTTTGAGGTAACCAGTCCTTCAGCTTGGAGTTCAGTCCATCAATCTTTTATTTCTGTTGACAGCAAAGTCAACACAACTGCCAGCGTTAGGGATGTCACAGAACATAAACACCACCAACATAACTCAGTTGCTGCTGCGGTATACAGCATGTAACAACTGAGATAGAATCTACTTAGGTTAAACTTCAAGGCACTTCAACACATTCATTTTAAAAAGCAGTATAATAACAGAATAGATAGCTTTAATGTCTCTGTAATGCACATTAAGTCCCACAACAACTTAATAATTGGATGGCACACTACCGGAGACGATGCCTTAGATCTGCACCCATCCATATCTCCAACAACTTCAACTTTTCTGCCCAGAAAACATCCAAGATGTTAGCGATCCAGTGTGACCTGAGGCTCAATGACCCAACTCTTCTCCTACCATTGCTCCCCTCCTTTACACGGTTCATCTATTTGTGACTTGATAAACCCCATCGCTTGGGCTAAATGTCTCCCTATTGTCATTATCAGCAATACACCATTTATATACAAAAATCAATCAATTTACAATGAGAATATCGCTGATACCAAGTATCCAGGAAATATTTTTTTATTAGAAACTCGACAATGATCATTTATTAATTTTTGTCATTAAAGATATTAGCAGTTTCTCGTTATTATTACCTTTCAGCTTTTCGATGAGAAAGACTGCGAAGTACAGCCTCCAGTGCAAATGTTCCAGAATTCTAGGAAGATATTCTGTTTCCCTCATTTGAAGTGCTCGCTGGTAATGATTTATCCAGAAATATATTAAATGCTGGTTCAGTTTTGTATACCACTTCCAGACGCTGTAAATGCTCGAAAGAGGTTGGACTCTGAATTTGTTCCCGTGGGTGTAATGAAGAGGATGTTGGTGCTCATAAGTGAATGGGTAAGGATGTATGTACTTCATCCAAGTCGGTGAAAGTGGCGGAGTACCGGCACTAACGTCCACTTCGTAAAATACAGCATTTGCTTCACGTGCAATGTGTTCTAGACCTTCCTGCAGCCAGAGTTGTATCCATCTGAAGACGGTGGACACGCTGACGTCAGTCGCTCGAGCAATGGCACTGAAAGACATACCACAAGCTCGCATAAGCACAAATTTGGCTCGCTCACTTGCACTCGTTACTTGAAACTTGCGTCGACGTCTCATTATAATACTCTGCGAAAATAAGATTGGAATAATAGCTGCTAGTTTTAATTATATATACAAATTATCCTACAATTTCATGCAATGATCTTGTAGCCTTTTTTCTATGTAATTTTATAGTGGGTAGTCTCTATTAATCGTTGGAATAGTTGTTAACACTTTAGTAAGCTGAATTTACAGGTTGAGAGCTGTTGTTCTCCCTCAGTTCAATTCTAACCTCAGAAGTATATAATATTTATTGTTACCCCACTCCACTCTTCCCCAGGATGCCACCCATGTCAGTGAGCTAACACCCAGGCACCTCTTTAAAGCTATGTGAACAGGAGAAGCAGATTTTAAAAATTCTTCTCTCGTTTCCACTCGTCATAGGACTGAACCCGGGTTCTTATATTGTGACAGAATGTTGCTACCACTAAGTTACGACATGGGGGTAAAATAGGAAAATGAAAATAGCTGTTCTGGACAGGTCTCGTTAAAATATAAGAGAGAGAGAGAGAGAGAGAGAGAGAGAGAGAGAGAGAGAGAGAGAGAGAGAGAGAGAGAGAGAGAGAGAGAGAGAGAGAGAGAGAGAGAGAGAGAATGGAACAGAATCGGCAAGACATCATATTGGGGCAAGTGTTCCACAAGGGACCGTGCTGGTACCATTGTTATGGAATGTCTACTTCAATGACCTTCATCTTATCCCAGAATCCTATGCATATGCAGACGACTGTACACTGACATTCACTTATCCAAGAGAAGGAATGCCAGCTGCTCTAAGCTACATCAATCACCGGCTAAGAAGTAACATTTGTAGTAAGTAACATTTGCACCTGAGAAAACACAAATGATTATGATCTCTAGGAACCATGATGGTAATGCTGGTGCAGTAGTAAGGATGAATGGGAGGGTATTGGCACCTGGGGAAGAAGTTAATATCCTTGGAGTGAAATTTGACTCCAAATTGACCATGAAGAACCGCGTTGTAAATCTTGCAAACAAGGCAGCCAGGAAGCTTACAGTACTTCGCCGTATCTCGCATCTGCTTGACAGTAGGGGTTGCAAGATTCTGTATGAGGCACACGTACACTCACACCTTGAGTATGCTCCACTTTCTTGGTTTGCCTCCCACCCCCTCTCATCTGTGACTGCTTGACAGAGTAGAGAACAGAGCAAGACGTCTCATCTCTCGCCTGGACCCATCCTGGATAGATCTGTCATTTCAGCAGAGCCTTCAACACAGGAGTGATGTGGGTGGCCTTATTATTATGTACAAGGCCAATATTGTCAGAGTACCACACTTTTATCCATTTCGAGGACAGCGTGAAGCTTCTATACCACAAGACGGGCAGAAAGCAGCGACTTCACTCTTGCTGTACCCTTCTCCAGAACATCACTTCATCTGAGATCATTTATCCCCAGGATGACTCGAGTATGGAACACATTCGTACAGCATAATGATGTCATTGAGATAAAGTCAGTTGATCAAATGAAAATGTTGTCCCACAGATGGCTCCAGCTTCATCCTGTTCCCTACTTGTATGTTTCTTAACAATAAAAATGCTTTCAAATGAGCTGATGTAGGTAACAACTCTTAGCTTGTCAATAAAGAATCCTTAACCTGTAAACAGCTTGTCAATAAAGCTAGGGATCCGTAACCTAACCTTGAGAGATAGAAAGAGAGAGATTGATAATGATGTCCACCATGAGAACCCATGATGTTATATTACATAAATCTAAAGCCTCGAATTTCATGGCTTTATGGAACCATCTGATTTTTCTTTAAGATAACCAACATTACAATGTATAAACATATCCCAAAATATTAAATCATTTCTGTTTTCACATTTCATATGAAGATGTTGCTTATATTGTCTCTTAAAACCTTAATTCATGACATATGGTTTGTTAAAAATAATTAATGTAAACTAAGTAAAAAAAAGTACATTTAAAAGGCACTTATAATAAAAAAAAGATTTGTTTTCTTTTTGTAATTTAAATTATAAGAGTAAGACCCCGCGGTACAACAGTTATCTTGCAGTCACTGAAGTCATTTTAATGGAGACAAAATCTCCAAGACTTGTAAAGTGATGCCGACAAACTGGAAAAGTTCACATGTGTTCGCTTGTGGATGTTTTTTAATGGACACTTTTTGCCACAGTGATGAATCCACTCGTGGCAAAATATTTCCTTTGATAAGTATCCAGAAGTGTACACAAAGTGCCCTTCTGCATGTTATGTATCATGGTGTTGTAAGCTTCACTCTATAAAGTCATTCATATCGTGTGTAATGCAATAACTTAACAATATCTTAGTAAAATTTAGCCGCAGCAATGTAAGATGAATGTTAGTGGACGTCAGTGAAGAAAGTGGCAACAGATGCTAGTGAAGAACTCCTCAGGAGGTGTTCCCACAGAGCAAAGCTGCACGTCTCAAGAACAGATGCGGACAGTAATTTCTTATCAATGTGTAGAGCACGAGAGGATTTAACCGTTTTCTCTCAATACTTAATTAAACAGTGATTGTTCATGTCTAATAATACTGGTCACCGAACTTGGACTTTCCGGTAGTAATGTTTTAATATTTTCTAATGCTGTTAATCACTCCTTGAGTGTCCAAGCTTAGAAATCTTGCATACATTTCTCATTGAATCGGTAGAAGTTAGCAAAGTAATCAGGGAAACCAGTTAGTCTCACCTGAGTCCTGGAGGTAGAAATATAGGCAGTAGGAGGGGAGACGAGATGTATTTCGGAGGGTCATATGAACTGTGATATCAACGCACTCTTCTGGCAAGACTTATTTTTTGGTCACCTTACCTCAGCAAGAGTCGGTCGGTGAGTTAAAAAAAAAAAACATAATGAACGAACTACATTGAGTCCTGTGGTTTCCAGAGAATTTTGAGTTTGAGTGAAAATCACTGATAAGGATCTAGTCTTCAGCAATACCAGCTACGTCTTGATGATTTTCAGCATTTTGAGGAATTACCAGAAATATGTCTTAACACACTTTGGTACGTAAGAATTTATTGTTCTAGTTTAAGACTTTTTTCCTAGAACTTCCCTGTCATTAAGAAGCAATTTTTTTGTGGTTGCAGAATTGTAGCCTGCAACTACAAGGTACAGTTGATATCTTCAACTTTCATGGCTACATTTGCAATGACAAAACTATCAGAGGCAGTGGACTGGTGTTATGAGACTTACAGTACATAAAGGAAGCCGACAGTCTCACTTACAGCATATGAAGGAAGCTGACAGTCTCACTTATAGTACATGAAGGAAGCTGACAGTCTCACTTACAGTACATGAAGCTGACAGTCACTTCGTCAGGATGTTACTAGGTTATGCTATCAATATTTCATCATCAGCACTGACAACACAAATGCACTTTAAGAAACAAGGTAATCAAGACATGCGAACTAAAAAATATTACAACCGTTTAAAAAATAAAATGTAATTTAAAATGCAGAAGGTAATGGGTAAAAGTAACTGATAATGCTTATAAATTAAGCTTAATCCGACGGATAAGAGCACCAATACAATATACAGAGGCATTTATTGGAAAAATCTTCTCTCTAAGTAGTTAATCAAGTCAGGACATGATAAAGTTCTATACAGGGAGAGGTAGTCTCTATAATACCTTGTTCTGCATATTGTCATTTTACACATACATAGTTAGGGTAAGTGCTGAGTTATTTGAAATAATTTGCTAACACTTGAAAATTCAGTTATGCCTAAATGCCTCATAATTAGCCATGGAAGAGAAACTGTGGCCAAACATTATCGTTGCAGCAGCCATGAAAAATTAGTGAAACTAAACTCGTGTTGTGATTTTTCTTTTAAGAAAATATCACATACAATTTTAGAATTGTTATCATATAAAGTAATGCAATAAATCACGGAGAAGCGACAAAAGAATCAAAACAACCACAATGGGTGTTCAATGACCTATTATTCAACTCCCCTTGTGATTGTTTCGCATCTTCATATAGAATAAGGATGGCTAAAATCAAACGTCTATTCCACACTGGCTTTTACTATGTAGTCTTTTACACATGGGTTACAGAAGAGAAAACTTTAGCAAGGACTTAATTTTAAAAGAGTTCTTTATATATATATATATATATATATATATATATATATATATATATATATATATATATATATATATATATATATAAACTATCACAGAAAGGCGATCTTAACTATGCAAGACAAGCTACGGGGGATGGAGTGGAAATCTTTAACTATAGAAAAGGACAAGTGTTTCCTGACGCGGGTCTTAGCCATATGATGACCCACAGCTGGTGCTTTTAGTTATCTGACCAAATTCTGAGCCTTAATACATTTTCCAAAATATTTAACCTCCATATTAAATAGAAATTAGGTAATTAATATTAATGTAAGTGAAAAAAATATATGTGAGGAACATGAACTATCAGGAGGAAGCCATAATTATACAGTGTAATAAGAAATGATATAAAATATATGGGACTTTTACCTTGTTGCTGAAGCTTGAAAGAGAAACTTGTATATGTTTGTTATTGTGTAGAAGCTTCTCACAGTGACACAGAGCTGAGAATCGATCACTGCCAACTGAGCGAGAAGCAGAAGAATGAGTCAAGCTGGACCCAGTCACTTCTTTTATGGGAGGGCTGAGCCACACACTCGCAGCCTATTGGCTACCCTCATGAATCTAAAATCACCTTAGCAGCAGGTGATTGGTATTAACCAACATGAGGTGGCAGGTGATTGGTGCTTCTTAGCAACAGGCGAGGGCGAAGACACATCATTGTTTTGAGGTTCTCTTTGCTGAGAAATGCCAATTGCAAAATCACTGTGTTACGTCTTTGATGTCGTAACTTAAAATGTTCCTGGCTCCTAAAGGCTGCTCATACTGCTATCGAGGGGTTATAAAATTACTCTGAAAAACACAGCAAACCTTGGGCCAGCATGTACTCATATATTAAACAATATTAATTATTAGGAAGGAAGGACAAAAACTCACCTATATAAAAATATACATATGTAAAACCATACTGCTTTGCGGGGATAGAACCCGCGATCAGAGAGTCTCAAAACTCTAGACAGCCGCGTTAGCCACTGGTTTGTTTGCAATCGTGTCATTACGATTTCGTGAGTCATGTTAACAGTAATATACATACAGTATTGTTAATAACTTATATACAACTTATAACTTCTACAAAGAAAAAAACCCAACCACACTCCAGTTCACATTAGCTCAGTAACACACTGCTACTAATGAGTTAAACAAACTAAATCATCAGGGAGGCACCAGGGAGGTAGACTAATTACCAGCAGGCAAACACCCCGTAAGTCTGGGGAAACACAAAATTCTCCCCAAAAATAAGAAAACTGCATCAAGCACCGTCATGATGCAATTTACTTGTACAATTATTAGCGGAAAACTCTACAATGAGCACTGCTAATCCACAGTCGTGTGAAACTCGTTTAACATAAAAGTGATCAGGTTTTATGCCAAAAGTCACAGTCATGCGTCATAGCTGTACTCTGAAACATAAATATGAAAATACATCATTACAACAATGTGTTGGCCAAACACCTACGTTGATGCATTTTCAATACATAACATAAAATGAAAGAGCTGACTGAGATACCTCTGTATATATTATAAAAAAATTGAAACAATAGATATATACAAGGATACTTATGATAAACTGAGAAAACTTCTCTTTCCAAACAACATACGTGCTCAGTAGCACACAACTCTGCTTGCAAAATAAACATGCACTTTAGAAAAATATATAAAGTCCCTTTAGAAACAGTGCAAAAAAGTTAGTGAACATATTAAAACAGAGAAAAGGCAATATCAACTCTGCGTCTCACAACAGACAATAAGCAAAATTGGTTATGCAAAACACACCACTGGTAGAAATTGGAGAACACTGGAGAGAAATTTACCGGACTTCAAAACTGGGTAGCAAGTCACATATAAAGTTAGTCGTTGGGACTGTGACCTTGAAAACACACAGGAGACTTCACCATTGAACCTCTCAATAGGTGGCCCGTCCAGGCATTCACCTACGCCGTCATTCCAAGGAACCCTGGAGTCACCACACTTGGCGATCCAAAAAAGTAAAACAGGTGGGTCCTGGAGAAAACACAACACTCAAAACACACAGGATCACTATATATGACCCAAAAATGGTGGGGCTTCACCGCCAACACCGCACCTCTACCTTTGGTCCAGCAGTCCATACACCAACATCACACAGGTGAGGTATCACCGCCCACACATGATGATTTTACCTGCGTCACCACCTGTCTGGTACTGAATATATATATATATATATATATATATATATATATATATATATATATATATATATATATATATATATATATATGGATTCTTGTAGGATCGCTGGCTCAAGTAGTAAGGCGATGCGTACATTGTGCTGTATATATATATATATATATATATATATATATATATATATATATATATATATATATATATATATATATATATATATATATATATATATATATATATATATATATAATATATATATATATATATATATATATATATATATATATATATATATATATATATATATATATGTCGTGCCGAATATGTAAAACTGGTCAATTAGCAAGAACTCATTTAAAATTAAGTCCTTTCTAAAATTTTCTCTTATACGTTTAAAGATATATTTTTTTAATTAATGATAATATAAAAAAAATTAATTTTGCATCAAAAGAATCTTAGAAAACTTACCTAACCTTATTATAACAAGAACAATTTATTTTAGCCTAACCCAACTAAATATATTTTAGATTTGTTTACAATAATTTAATACTAAACAAACACAATGAAATATATTTTTTTCGTTAGGTTAAGAATGATTTTGGCGAAATTATTGCATACACAAATTTTCACTTGTCCTATATGGCAAGATGAGCGTTGCTATTTAAGCCAAGATCGCAAGTTCTGCCTATTCGGCACGAGAGTGGTGAAGCAATGTAAAAAGAGAGCAAATGAGAGAGTGGGTGAGATGTTATCAACAAATTTTGTTGAAAATAAGAAAAAGTTTTGGAGTGAGATTAACAAGTTAAGAAAGCCTAGAGAACAAATGGATTTGTCAGTTAAAAATAGGAGAGGAGAGTTATTAAATGGAGAGTTAGAGGTATTGGGAAGATGGAGGGAATATTTTGAGGAATTGTTAAATGTTGATGAAGATAGGGAAGCTGTGATTTCGTGTATAGGGCAAGGAAGAATAACATCTTGTAGGAGTGAGGAAGAGCCAGTTGTGAGTGTGGGGGAAGTTCGTGAGGCAGTAGGTAAAATGAAAGGGGGTAAGGCAGCCGGGATTGATGGGATAAAGATAGAAATGTTAAAAGCAGGTGGGGATATAGTTTTGGAGTGGTTGGTGCAATTATTTAATAAATGTATGGAAGAGGGTAAGGTACCTAGGGATTGGCAGAGAGCATGCATAGTTCCTTTGTATAAAGGCAAAGGGGATAAAAGAGAGTGCAAAAATTATAGGGGGATAAGTCTGTTGAGTGTACCTGGTAAAGTGTATGGTAGAGTTATAATTGAAAGAATTAAGAGTAAGACGGAGAATAGGATAGCAGATGAACAAGGAGGCTTTAGGAAAGGTAGGGGTGTGTGGACCAGGTGTTTACAGTGAAACATATAAGTGAACAGTATTTAGATAAGGCTAAAGAGGTCTTTGTGGCATTTATGGATTTGGAAAAGGCGTATGACAGGGTGGATAGGGGGGCAATGTGGCAGATGTTGCAAGTGTATGGTGTAGGAGGTAGGTTACTGAAAGCAGTGAAGAGTTTTTACGAGGATAGTGAGGCTCAAGTTAGAGTATGTAGGAAAGAGGGAAATTTTTTCCAAATAAAAGTAGGCCTTAGACAAGGATGTGTGATGTCACCGTGGTTGTTTAATATATTTATAGATGGGGTTGTAAGAGAAGTAAATGCGAGGGTCTTGGCAAGAGGCGTGGAGTTAAAAGATAAAGAATCACACACAAAGTGGGAGTTGTCACAGCTGCTCTTTGCTGATGACACTGTGCTCTTGGGAGATTCTGAAGAGAAGCTGCAGAGATTGGTGGATGAATTTGGTAGGGTGTGCAAAAGAAGAAAATTAAAGGTGAATATAGGAAAGAGTAAGGTTATGAGGATAACAAAAAGATTAGGTGATGAAAGATTGAATATCAGATTGGAGGGAGAGAGTATGGAGGAGGTGAATGTATTCAGATATTTGGGAGTGGACGTGTCAGCGGATGGGTCTATGAAAGATGAGGTGAATCATAGAATTGATGAGGGAAAAAGAGTGAGTGGTGCACTTAGGAGTCTGTGGAGACAAAGAACTTTGTCCTTGGAGGCAAAGAGGGGAATGTATGAGAGTATAGTTTTACCAACGCTCTTATATGGGTGTGAAGCATGGGTGATGAATGTTGCAGCGAGGAGAAGGCTGGAGGCAGTGGAGATGTCATGTCTGAGGGCAATGTGTGGTGTGAATATAATGCAGAGAATTCGTAGTTTGGAAGTTAGGAGGAGGTGCGGGATTACCAAAACTGTTGTCCAGAGGGCTGAGGAAGGGTTGTTGAGGTGGTTCGGACACGTAGAGAGAATGGGGCGAAACAGAATGACTTCAAGAGTGTATCAGTCTGTAGTGGAAGGAAGGCGGGTAGGGGTCGGCCTAGGAAGGGTTGGAGGGAGGAGGTAAAGGAGGTTTTGTGTGCGAGGGGCTTGGACTTAAAGCAGGCATGCGTGAGCGTGTTTTGATAGGAGTGAATGGAGACAAATGGTTTTTAATACTTGACGTGCTGTTGGAGTGTGAGCAAAGTAACATTTATGAAGGGATTCAGGGAAACCGGCAGGCCGGACTTGAGTCCTGGAGATGGGAAGTACAGTGCCTGCACTCTGAAGGAGGGGTGTTAATGTTGCAGTTTAAAAACTGTAGTGTAAAGCACCCTTCTGGCAAGACAGTGATGGAGTGAATGATGGTGAAAGTTTTTCTTTTTCGGGCCACCTGCCTTGGTGGGAATCGGCCAGTGTGATAATAATAAATATATATATATTATATATATATATATATATATATATATATATATATATATATATATTTATATATATATATATATATATATATGAAATGACAGTAGTTTGTTGGATTATGTATTGGTAGATAAAAGACTGTTGAGTAGACTTCAGGATGTACATGTTTATAGAGGGGCCACAGATATATCAGATCACTTTTTAGTTGTAGCTACACTGAGAGTAAAAGGTAGATGGGATACAAGGAGAATAGAAGCATCAGGGAAGAGAGAGGTGAAGGTTTACAAACTAAAAGAGGAGGCAGTTAGGGAAAGATATAAAAAGCTTTTGGAGGATAGATGGGCTAATGAGAACAAAGGCAATGGGGTCGAAGAGGTATGGGGTAGGTTTAAAAATGTAGTGTTAGAGTGTTCAGCAGAAGTTTGTGGTTACAGGAAAGTGGGTGCGGGAGGGAAGAGGAGCGATTGGTGGAATGATGATGTAAAGAGAGTAGTAAGGGAGAGAAAAAGTTAGCATATGAGAAGTTTTTACAAAGT